GTCCTTGGCACCAACATATGATGCCTTCACAGAACAGTTAGAGTGATCATTGTAAACGTACATCAGATCTCTCTACTGCCTCATTCTTTGTTGGGTTCCATCCCCTCTGTTATATCTCTGCTCAGATATTACCTTCTCAGAGATGTTCTTCCTGATCATCCCAACAAAAATAACCTCCCTCACATCTACTTTTCTTTAAACTGCCTGTCAATCTGAAATGTTGTATTTATATGTCTTCTCCATTGCCCAATGAGGGCAAAGACTTGGTCTTTTAGTATCAAAGTAGAGTGGATATATTTTCTTTTGTTCTTTCCATCCATTTTCCGCAACAGGAGCCTAACTTCCAAGGGTTGAAACCACTTACCTCCCAACTCACTTGCCTCCTAATTCCTTGATTCTTGAGATGAGTTCTGGGCATACTTCTTGCTCCTTTTTACCTCCTCCAAGCCACAGTTCCAGTGTCGTCTCTGAACTTCTCCATTTGTACCACCTGTCCTCATCTTTGTACTCTTTGATGAATTTCCAGGACCCCATTTCTTGTTCCTGGATTATTATAGTTTCTGGCATATAGTCTTCTCCTCCATCCCTCCCTGTCCTGATTTGATGATGCTTTTAATTAACACCAGTTCTTTCTTGTGTTTTCAACTCTTTAGCTCTCCACTGGCATGGTCAAACCCTACAATCATCATCCCTGGAAAATGTTCTGCCTCTGTCATTAGCCCTGAGTTTCTGTTTTTGACTTAAAGATACCATATTTATAGGTACACAGCTCTTAGACGTTAGTGAGTTTGTCTAGTTCAGTCCTTCTCAAAGTTTCCTGTGCATCAGAATCACCTGGAGAGCCTTGTTAAAGCCCGGAATCCTTGGTCTCACTCCCAGAGATTCTGATTCAGTAGGTGTGGTTTGATGCCCTGAATTTGAATTTCTATCACCTTCCCAAGGTAATGCTGATGAAGGTCTGGGGACCTGCATTTTGAGGAACACTGCTCAAATGAATACTTTCCCCCAAAGGACAGATACTTTCCACTCTGCCTTAAGCGTCTGTTCATGTCCTTACTTTCTTTACCTTCTATTAATGACTTCTAGAATTATGTTACTGAGGTAAAGGACTTCTGAAGAGAGATTTCTCATATTTTTTCTTCTTGAAATGAAAATTTTCCTCTTTATCCTTTTTGTGTTCTTCTCTTCTTGCCTTCAGTGCTATTCTCTTCTACTTAGTTCCTTTGTCCCATTTTTTCCTGGTGATTTTTGGCTCCTTTTTCAGTTACCATTTTTGTGTCTTGGATTATCAGTTTCTCCATCTATAGGAAATTAGCCTTTCCCCCCCAACTTCCAAATATGACCAAGTAAGCCCCTTTCCTCAGAGTATTGTCCCAGTTCTCTTCCTTCTTCCCTCTGCCAAACTTTTTTTTAGAAGAAAAGTAATAGTTTAACTCCGTTAGTAGATAGGTCATAATTTCTTATAGTCTGATTTGGTTTCCAAAGTTTTACTGGACAGCCCACTCACTGGTCATGTGACTCTTAGGTTTTAAATACGAAGCTCTGTTCCAGCCTCTGCAGTATTTGATATTAACTACCTTTTCCCTTTTCAAAAATTGCTTCCTTTGTTTTTTAGTTACTGCTTTTTTAAGTTTTCACTGTTCTGACTACTTCTCTTCTTGTTTGCATAATATCCTTTAATCCTTCTCTGCTTTTTCTTGAAGCTTGGAATGCTTTTCCCACCATCTAAATCTGTGCAGTTCATATGGGAGCCACTAGCTGAATGTGCCTGTTGAGCACTTAAAATGTGGCCAGTTCAGACTGAGATATTGTGTAAGTGTAAAATACACACTGGACTTTCAAGCTGTAAGATGAAAGGGAGAATATAAACTATCTCACTAAATTTTTTAATATTGATTACCTGTTGCTAATATTTTAGATATATTGGGTTAAGTAAAATATTGCTAAAATTAATTTCACCTGTTTCTCTTTACTTTTGAAATATGACTGCATCATCTGTGCCTTGATTATATTTGTCTTAGACAATATTGATCTAAATTTCACCTTTGCTTAAAGACTCCTTGGTCAATTTTTCATCTATTAATATGTATATATATCTCTTCTAAATTACAGTACCAGCCTTTTGGAACATTTACTCCCCATCCCCCCAATTAGATATTAAGCTTCTTCAGAGCCAGAGTAATTTCTCGTAGTGCCTTTCATATATTGGGACATAGATATATAGATATGAAAAAATATGTATACATACACACATGAATAAATGACTTGGCTAATATTACCACTTTATCAAAGTAGTACCATATACTTATGGTAGTTGATGCCTATGGTGATGTTTTTGTTTAATCTGGTGGTCAGTAGGAGATGTTGATGTGAAGGAGAGACGCTCTGCTCTGAGATGTTGATATCGGACATGCACTTCCCCCATGTGTATCTAGCCACCCCAAGCCACTCTGATAGCTCTGAACTTGTGCTGTTGTGATTTTACTGCCATCTGGTGTCAGGATTAGGAAACTGTAGTTCAGCATTTCATCTTTCCATTCCCTCCAAAGAAAATAGGCAGTCTTTCCTCTGAATGTGGGCCTGTTCTTCTCCATTTCCTGAGTAAGTTATCAGGAAGAGCTCATTTACTTTCACTGTATGAAGCCTTTATTCTCCTTCTTGGGGCACTCTTTCATTGCCTTCCCTGATAACTTACTCACCTGTGCCTCATGTTTCTGTGGCCGCTCTATTTCATTCTTCTCGGACAGCCCATTTCCTTCTCAGTGTGGCAGTTTTCTAGCCCTAGATTCTGGGCCTTCTGCACTTTTTATCCTTTGTTTTCATCTATACCCAAGACTTTTAAATACTGCCTGTTTACAGACAAATTTATAGTTATAGCCAAAAATCTCTTCTGATATTATCACCAGTATCTGTTGTTGCTTACCAAGATATTACATGAGCATCTCAAATATAGCACTATCAAGTCTAAATGTGGATCTCCCACCCTGTCCCTATTTCTCAGATCTATTTTTCTTATTTCAGTAATCCATTGTGCCAGAATTCTGGGTGTCATCTTGTCATCCACCATCTCTCACACTCATTAGTCAAACATTTACCTTGTCTCGTTGAGTCTACAAAACTGCACTCCTGTGCATGTTGAATTTGTGACCCTTCCCCTGCTCCCGCCTTATCTAAGTTACCACTGTCTCTTGCTTGGATTAAGTAGACTCCTAGTCTCCCTGCACACACCATTGGCTACATGTTTTGTCTGTATGTTTAATATCAGCCTCTCCCACTAGCCTGAGAGTTCCGTAACGGCAGGGACTGCATGCATGTGGTTCACCATTGGGTCCCCAGTGCCTGGTACATTTCCTAAAATCCGTGTAATATGTATATAGCTACTTACTTCAGCTCTCAGTGATATTCATATGATTCCTATAGCTTTAGTGATTGAACTTGAATATATTGGAATTTCTTTAATGCTTTATTTCAGTATTAGTATTTTGTCTGAGTTTATTTATCATAAATGAGTTTTAACTGTTTTCTACTTTTGCACAGAGAAAATTATATCTGGAAAGAGCATATAGTTTGGATATTAATCAGTTAATGACAACAACCTACTTATATATTGTGGACTACCAGTCAATATGCTGAAATTATTTTCTGAGCAGTTGAAATTTCATACAGTTGGCTCGTCTTTTTACCATTCTTCTGTCTGAAGATAATGGTCTCTAATTTTAGTATGGAGGTACATTTGCTAAATCTTCAATTAAAGCCTGTTTGACTCCAAGTGTTCTTTTAAATAGAGGCTTGTGTCTTTTTAAAAAAATTAATTAATTTATCTGTTTATTTTTGACTGTGTTGAGTCTTTATTGCTGCGCGGGCTTTCTCTAGTTGTGGTGAGTGGGGGCTGCTTTTCGTTGCGGTGAGTGGGCTTCTCATTGCGGTGGTTTCTCTCGTTGTGGAGCACAGGCTCTAGGCACACGGGCTTCAGTAGTTGTGGCACATGGGCTCAGTAGTTGCGGCTCGCGGGCCCTAGAGCACAGGCTCAGTAGTTGTGGCGCACGGGCTTAGTTGCTCCGTGGCATGTGGGATCTTCCCAGACCAGGGCTTGAACCTGTGTGCCCTGCATTGGTAGGTGGATTCTTAACCACTGTGCCACCAGGGAAGTCTGAGGCTTGTGTCTTCATAGTTGTATTTAATAATTTTAATTTGCTTTACTGTTATAAAGATAGTTTTGCTTTATAAGTCTTTATTATTTGGGCTTACTTTCGGCTTTGAGTTGATGATATTGCTTAATAAGGAAATTTAATTTATAAAAGTAAAGGTGATATAAAAATTTGGTATTTAGAGATTGGCAACAATCTGTTGTAAATTCAGAGAGCAAGGATTTTATAGGTATATACCAGGGTTTCTCAGCCTTGGCATTGTTAACACTTTGGGTTGCATAGGTTTTTACTGTGTATATGTGTGGGTGTTGTCCTGGGCATTGTAGCATTTTAGGAGCATCCTGCCCCTAACCACTAGGGGCATTCCCTCCTCTCCAGTTGTAACAAGAAAAGTGTCTGTAGATGTTGCCAAATTATCACGGGGGGCAGCAGAGAATCACACTAGTTGAAAACCATGGTACTTAGAAGAGGGTAGTAGACCATGAACTGTCTCATTGGGGAAATCTTTGGCATTCTCTAGGTGTCTTTGAGAGTATGGTAGCTTTGTGGTATGTTGTTAGTAGCAAGCAGAAGTAGAGACTATATGACTTCTTCACATTAAAAAATTTTTGTGCTTGCTTAAAATAAAATAACTTTTGCACTTAACCACCTGGTTCTACCCCAAACTGGAAAAATGACATAATTCACTGATAAAGTTTCATTTTGTTGACTGATTTCAGAAGTTAGGTGGTGGTAGAAAAAGGGAACATAAATTACAACACAAACAGTGGTTTGTAACCAGAGCTTTTGCCATTTGTGCTTGTATATATAAAGTATAGGATATAATTAACTTATTTTATTTTTTCTTCAAAGGGACATGAGAGATGGCTTTAGAAGAAAAAGTTTCTACTCTTCCCATTATGTGAGAGACCGGTCTCCTCATAAAAGAGACACTTCTTTTTTCAGAGAATCACCTGTAGGCCGAAAGGATTCTCCACACAGCAGATCTGGCTCCAGTGTCAGCAGTAGAAGTTACTCCCCAGAAAGAAGCAAAACTTACCCTTTCCATCAGTCTCAACATAGAAGTATGTATTTTTAAGAGTTCTCCTTTTTTTTTTTTTTTTTTTTTTGCAACCTCCACTGATAAGAATGTATTGAGTCAGATTGCCTTATATGTGTTATAAGATATTATTTTTAACTCTTTATTTGAAAAATTTCAAACTTGCAGAAAAGTTGAAAGAATAGTATAATGAATGTCATACACATACATACACACACGCACACACACACATTTTGAAACCATTTCAAATTGCAGTCTGTATGACATTTCACTTCTAGTTCTTCAGCGTGGAAGAGGTTGTAATCATGTTGGAAAGTCACACACCTCCTGTATTTTCTGCTAATTCCTGAGCTGATTCCGCCTCTTTAATCTTCTGTCACTAGGGGAAGTCTATATATATTTTTCATGAAAAATATTAGTGGATCCCCCTAAATATAAGGTATAGCCTTATAGAATTTAGAGCTAAAACCTACCTTAGGTTCATTCTTTCCCAACCTCCAATTTTTTTTTTTTTTTTTTTTTTTTAAGTTTGGAGTGCCTGGCCATGCATGGCATTCAGTGCATGTCGTCCTGGCCCAGTTGCTCAGTATGTGTTGGCATAAATAAATGAAGCAACTTTTCTAGGTAACACTTTCCTGTGTTGTCATTCTAGACTCTACTACCTGCAGTTGAGCTCATTCACAAAACACTTCCTCATGCCTTCTGTATCCAGGGCACTGTGTTAGAACGATGTCCCTGTCACCAAGGAACTAGAATATATATGTGTATTTTTCCCCAACTGATAACAATTTTATCATTATGTAAATATAACATGTAAAGTATAACTTTGATGTAAGGCTCATTATGTTGTAAATGAGTTAACATGACATTAGCCGGTCAGGGTAAGAGACTCTCACTCTGGGATGGAAGAACACGCCATGGAGGAAATGACCTTTGGGCTTACCTTTTAGTTCAGACTTCTACAGGTGGAGAAGTATCTTCTAGGTAGAAGGAATTATAAGCCAATAATTTTTCTTTCCTTTTTAGCTTCCTTCCTTTTAACTGTTTTTTTCAAATAATAAGGTTTTTAGTTCAACAGTCTTTGCCTCCTGCATGTTCAGAGTGATGGAAGATCACTTCAGATCATTAGATTGTCTCCATTGTAGCTGTTGCTGGATTCCTGTATTTAACAAGCATTTATCACTTGTCTACTGTTTCCAGAGCTAGGTAGAGTGGGGTTTCCAAAAAACGTATTTTTGGATATATGTGTAAGAATGCCATTTGAAGGATTTAAAACAAACATAGTCACTTACACATGCCTGACTGTTTAAAATATTCTTGGAATAGTTCCAGGTAACTGAAAGTTTTACTGTGGAGTTCAGTGTTAAAAGTTTGGTATTTTCTCCTATGCTTTACTTCCTTTTTCTCCCCTCACCCTTCAAGTGGATAAATAGCCTCTAAGTCTAATTTATGCTCACATGCACAGACCTAAATATCCCAAATTAGCTAGATATACCTTCTAAGACCATATTTTTTTAGATGTGTGTGACTTAAATCCAAATCTATTAATAACTTGGTTAAGAGGAAGAAAGTGTCTTTGGAAACTGATTTTGAAGCCTTTTTAACAAAACATGAGTAAAATGGAAGCTTGAGATCCTTCTTTACAGCTTAGAGTGAATCTATTAAGTTATTTAAGTTACTGTTGAATTAGCCTTATTTTTTACATTTCTCCTCTAAAACAGATTCCTGGGGAGGCATCTTCTGTCTGCCTTTGGCCTGGTAGTCAGTGGCCAAAACTCTAAAATCTCAAGATGAAATGTAGAGTCACATGGTGATGCTCCTGTCTTAGTGTCTGCGATATGCTTTCCCCATCCTCTGAGGTCTAATACCTTTAATATCTTGCAGTGATGGAAAGATAACAGAGAAAGTTGGGAGACTAAAATCTGGTGTGAACTGAATGAAATAGAGTGTATGACTTTGTTAATGCCTTCATGTTTATTTTAAGTCATTTAGCTTTGAAAGTAAAGTTCTTTAATCAAGAAAAAGAAGTTTGTTCTGGGAAAACTCTCTTTATGGGTTACTTTGGTTGATTCCTTAGCTGTTTGGGCTGAACTGTTGAAATGTTTTTCTGTACTCCTTTCATTAAATAGTTTTTAGGATGGTTACATGAGATAATCTTCCAAAAAGTTAACAGTAAAAGTCTTGCTTTAAACAATAAAAGGAAGAAGTGATTGTTATTTTACATATTTGTGATAATGGTTTTTGCTTTAAATCCAAATCTCAGAAATGTTGATGGCACCTTGCTTTTCTTCAAAAAAGGACTGAGAAATATCATCCTTCAATTATCAGTCACTTAAACTGGGCTAATTAACAATGATGGGTTAATTTAGTTTTCCAATGTAAATTGAAATTTTGACAAAGATTTTAAATGTTTCTGTAACAGGTAAAAAATAATTTTCTTATTCCTTATGCCCTCGTTTTGTTAATTCTTTTTTAACTTTTAATTTTTTGCTTCTTGTTCATACTTTTCAGAATAATTTTATTTATTTTAATAATCACTAGTAGTTTGTCCATGGTAATTATTTTAGGACTAATTCTTCACAATTGTTCTGTGCATTTAATATATCTGTGCTTAATTATAAGCCACAGAATGATTATTACTTTTTCATCTCAGCTGCTTAGTTCCCATTTTGTGCTTACACACACGCACACACATGTTATTTAATTAAATTTTTTCTGCGTAGCCTTTTGGGTTAAATCCTATGGAACTTTGTACTGACACAGACTAATTATCTTCCTAAATCAAACTGTTTACACCTTGTGTTTTACGTTTAAGAATTTTCTGCCTATAACTTAAGTGGACTAACCTGTTCATAACGGTGACTACAATACTATTTTTCATTCCTTATTGTTGTTCATATTTACATGCTAACAGTGTAGGTTGTCCTTCTTAATCTGTTTATTAACAGATTATTAAGATACTGTTATAGTTTAAATTGTTTTCTTATGTATACCTTGTGTATTTTTACTTGAAGTTTATTTTATTCTAATTAATCTAATGAAACATCTCCCCATTTGTCAACTATCTCTTAGATATTTATTTCCTTTTTCCCTACCTTCTCTCAAATGAATCTCACTGTTTTCCTATCTTATACGTTTGCTATTTACCTTCTGTTTAGGATAATAGCATTAATAATGATCACTATATTTAGTCTCCCATATGGGTATGGGAGACTTTTTGTTAAAGTACTTCCTGTGATGTTTACTGTATCACAGTACAGTCTTTCCATTTTTGTATAGCTCATTTTTAAAAACAGTTAAAATCTTTTCCTGTAATGTCTACTTAATACTAGTTATTTATCTTAGAGCCATAAAGATATTTCTTTTTTTGTTGGAACGGTTTGTGTATTTGAAAAGTACCATCATAATCTTTTCGATTTTTTTCCCCCAAGTTTAAATATATTTAGTTCCTTCAGCTGTTCCTTTCATTTGACATGGTTTTCAGACCTTTTGCTTTCCTAATTTTCTTTCTTTTCCTTTTAAGTCATGATGCCAGAAGTGAACTTTTATTTTGTCAACCATATTGTATTACTGGTCCTTACTGAAACTGCAGGCAACTGAAACCTAGGCCATTTTCACATATATTACTATGAAACAAAAAGCCCTGCAGCCTGTACTTTTTTCAGCTGCAATTATTTGTTTGTAGTTAATGCATTAAAAAAATATCTGGGAATGATATATTTCATGTAGTTAACTTTGGCTTATAATTCTCTTCCATAAAGGTCTTAAAATCTCTTTAGTGATCCTATGTATTTAGCAGCAGATAAAAGAGCTTTGTTTTATTTACAAATGAAGTATGCTTTATGTGTTTTGTATTAATCATTAATAATTATGTTGTGTTATAAAGCAGAAACTAACACACCATTGTAAAGCAATTATACTCCAATAAAGGTGTTAAAAAAAAAATTCTGTTGAGTAGCATAAGGCACAATATAGAAACTTCTAGGCACCTCTCTCTGTGGACCACAACCATTTATCTGCAGTGTTTGCTGTTATTCAACCAGTTGTGATTCCCCATCTTGTTTTCTTTTCCGCTTGAGGATTACAAAGCATTTCCACTATGGAAACAATGACATAAAGATTGCCTTGCTTAGTTTTGTAAATCTGTTGTGGCTCCTAGGGATGATTATGTTAGGTATTTACAAACTCTTTGTTAATTCATTCTAAACATTTGCTGCAGATTAATGTCAGATTTACCAGTGATGCTCATATATAAATTAGGTATATGACATTTTTAAAATGTCATTACTATGGAAGATTTGTAAGTTTATTGTTTTTGTTGGTCTGTATCTGATTTTCTATAGTTCTGACTTTGGGCCCAGCCTCCCCTTATTTTCTCAATATCAGCAGCCGCTATTAAGAATGAAAGATACTTTTAAGAAAGACTTATTCATCAGTGTTTAATACTTTTCTAAAGCATATCTTCTACAATAACTGAAAATGTACAAGAATTAAAAATACTATTTTGAGAAGAGTGTATTTGGAAGATAGACTCTATTATTGAACTTAAGTATAATAGGAAAAGACACATGTCTTAATACCTGTTGCCTGTGAATGAATTTGGAAGTCCACATGAATTTTTGGATCATAGCTGAAATTCCAGTAAGATTTAGAGGTTTAATTCTGCCTTTAGAAAGAAGGCTTTTCTGTGCAGGTGTAAGTGATAATGGGAATATGGAAATAAGGCTTTACCATCAGATCATGTTTATTATGCAGTAAGAACCTGTTTTCTTAGCAGCTAAATATTATAGTGTTTCTTGGTTTGAAAGTCATTGTATTTATGTTCAGTACTCATAAAATCATTCAACAAAAATATATTTCATATAAATGGTTTGCCAAGCAAGGCAGATCTAGTCTTTGCCCTCTGAGTTTATGATTCAGAGAAGGAGACAAATCATTACATGGGAATAGGCATTTTAGGTGATATCTGACGAGTGGGCAGAAGTTGGTGGAAGGATGAAAGTGGAGAAGGATTATTGGGATGAG